CTAATTTGCATTTATTTTCTTGCAAACAGCTTGTGCTTTTTAAAAGAAGCACAATGTGCAGCTGTATCAGTGTAGCCTAATGCTATACTGGGCAAGGTTTGGACATGTGATGAATGAAGGTTTTAGACTAAAAAGAGGATTCCCAGGTAACTTGTTTGGTTAAATCATCATGACAAAATTCACAAAAATTTATCCCGCAGAATTTAATATGTAGCACACACACGGGTAAAATTTAAACTATTGTCGCCACATGAATTGAAAGCATGGACATTTCTTTAAATCTCCACAAAATTTAAGATGAAGCTGAATTTCAAAGGTAATTGACTGTGAATACTATCAGTCTTAAGGGAGAAAACTCTAAGCAACCACTGTTTCCAGATTCATTTGTTTATGAAATTTGAATAAAAACCCTTCATAAAAGACAAGCTGGATTTGATTCAAAGTAGAGAAAAAGGCTTGGTTTTGTTCTTGGAGACTAGCCCTTACATGTCCACATTGGGGCAACACATCTCCCCTGACATCAGGCTGTGGAATTGCCTTCATACTTCAAGTCTGGGAGAAGATATGAAAGATGCCACACCAAATGATATCCCTTTATCAGCAGAACACTATTGATTAAATACAGCCCTCAGTCCTTGGTCAGTCTCCACCTACCTACGTTCCTTGGTTGTCATTCCTGAGAACAAATGGAAGAGTTTATGTTGTTGTCATTACTTTGAGAACAGTAGTATTAAATAATGTAATGAATACAATAGGTGTTTCTGGGTTGTCACCAGGATCATTTCACAATGCAACACTTTTCACAGCTTGGTGAAATGTACTTCTGGGACAATATCAGCCTTTAATACTCCCATCTCCCATCTCCCACCGGTTTGCCAAACTATGGAGGAATTTATTTTAAGGCGCTAAGATTAGTATTGTTCCAATTTTTGATGGAGCAGATGTGTTGATTGATTTCAGATTTCAGGAAAAGACTGAATGCCTTTTTTGTCTCCCATCAGGTGACTGGTTCTACATGTTGTCATGTGCAGGGCCAGTGTGTTCCCAGGGATGCTAAGCTCCTTGTGCAAGGACAGCCACAAATATTGCAAGTGTGCATTCAGTGAGCCAACAGGCACTTCAGGAACCTCCAGATGTTGAGCAAAGACAAACACAAGGTCCCGCATCTGGGATGGAACACCGTGTGCATCAGGGCAGGTCAAGGACTGACTGGTCTTGGAGCAGCTCTACAAAAGGGACCTGAGCTCCTGGTGGACCAGTAGACCTGGATTCAGCAGTGTGCCCATGCAGTGATGAAGGCTACACTGAGGACAAGTCCCTCTGCCCAGAACTTATGGGTCTGAATCTGGACCAGGGTGTCCAGCTTCAAGCCTGCAGTATGTGAGATGTAAACCAGGGAGAACCCAGAAAAGGGCCACTAATACAGCTAAGAGGCTTGGTTACTTGCCCAGGGCCAGCAATGCCCTGACTGGTACCTGTGAGCAGTCGCACCACTCCAACAGACAGGATCTGACCCTGGTCCAGCTGTGACCTCCCTGCTGGGCAGGGCAGAGGTAGCGAAGGTACTGCTGGGGAGGGAGTGAGCTGGCGTGGGAGCTCATCTGATCTCCCTGGTTACTGAATTTCACTGAATTTCACTGAATTTCTGATCTCCCTGGTTACTGAATTTCACCGAATTTCACTGAATTTTTAGAGTTGGAAGGGACCATAGAGATCATCTAGTCCAACTGCCCTGCCAAAGCAGGACCACCCAGAGCTTGTCAGAGCATGTTACTCAGGACTGCATCCAGGCGGGGCTTGAAAATCTCCAGAGAAGGGGACTCCACACCCTCCCTGGGCAGCCTGTTCCAGGGCTCTGTCACCCTCACCGTGAAAAAGTTCTTCCTTATATTCAAGTGGAACCCTTTATGTTTCAACTTGTGCCCATTGCCCCTTGTCCTCTCACTGGGAACCACTGAAAAGAGTCTGGTTCCCTCCTCCCTCAGCCCGCCCTTGAGATACCTGTAAGCATTAATAAGGTCTCCCCTCAGCCTTCTCTAAAGAGTCCCAGCTCTTTCAGCCTCTCCTCATAAGGGAGATGCTCCAGTCCTTGAATCATCTTTGTAGCCCCACGCTCGCTGTGTGTTGTTGTTTGCTGTGTCTCACCCGCGGCACATCTCTGCTGCACGCCCATCCACCCACGTGCGTGACGTGTCGTTTCGCCCCGCGGAGGGGACGGGGAGCAGCCTGTGTGCAGACACCCTACAGACCCAAGCGCACACCCCAGCTACGGTACCACCCGCTGGAGCTGGCCAAAGAATATTATTTCTTTACTCTTGGTCTTCAGGAGAATATCTCACGCAGAACCGGGGGTGCTAACACGGCACAGAAGACAAACCGAATCACCGACAATGGCCTGGCAGTGACGCCAGCGGTTATTCCCAGCGTGTCCCCTGTCCGCAGGCCGTGTAAGAAGACGCTGGCGTTTCTCCCAGGCCCCTCTGTGGCCGCACCTGGCTGCTGGATGTGCCCGAGAGGGGGGCGACACAGCCCCGGCAGCCATCCCGGCACAGGGCGGGGGGGTGGCGGTGGCCGGAGCGGGCCAGCAGCGCCATCCAGCGGCAGGCGCGGGGAGCGACACCCCCCCGCCCCCCGCC